GGCCGCTGACTTTCAAATAAACGTAATTTCGTTCATTATCAATATTTCCTAAAACGCTAAGTAGATTTGTTATCTACAAACTGCTTGTTTCGGAAGGTAACCACGATTATGCCTTATTCAAAACTACGTCAGTTATGGGGTAGAGAACAAAGAATTCACAGAAATGCGCACTTCGTCTCTTGAAAGGTAGTAACTTTCTTCAAAGAAGGACTTATGAGGAGCAGTAAGAATATTTGGAGAGCTCAGACTGTTGTATTTCTAAAAAGTGCTCAAGCTCTTGCAAAAACTCTTTCTTCGAAAAATCGCCCCGTTGAACCGTTTTTCTTGCAAGACCATGTTTTTTGGCTTTTAATGGCTATAACTTCCTTCAAATTTCGCCTTCTGCGATTCTTATCGACCGGGTTGAATAAGAAGGTTGAGCTTCCTAGCAAATACTTTGAACTCCTTTGAAAGTTGAAGTCAAAAAATCGCCTCGTTGGATTGATTTTTTTTCACGAGTTTTCGGCGCTACTCTCCTGAAAACACGGGTTTTCAACACTTAAATACTGACAACTCTCTTCAAACTCAATTTTATCGGGAGTTATGATACCGTGACGTCGTACGAGCTCTGTGCTTCATTACAGATGCTAAAACCATTTCAAGAAGTTGCCGACAGGCAAATATTTTTGTTTCCAAACTTTTCTTGTAGCCCTTCAGCAGTCAAGTCAATCTATCAAAGAGGTCACTCTTTTATTAACTTAGGTCCAGTTTGAAGGCATTGGTCACCTCTAGAATAGAATAGAATTATATTTGTGTACGTGCGCAGTCAAATATGGATATTTTCGCAGTAGACTCTTCTGCTTTTTTGTGTGCCATGCACTTATTTGTGCTTAATAGTTGAAGAAGCACTCAAAAGTTTCACCTCTTCCCTACTGTCGCGAGAACTGACGTCTTGATTTTAATCGTTCGATGGTCTCAGCAATAGCCAACAGCTGCAAGCTTCATCACAGCACACATTAGGTCCCTTGTAGCCACCACTTCTCTTCATCTACACCCAAAAACCTTTTCGTACTGCAACGTTGGCTCCTGCGAATACGACCCCGTCCCTCTAGCGTCGGCCACATACGACGCTCCCCCCGTTGGACTTTGTCCAACGGACGGCTGACCCTGGTCAAGTCAACTGTCGAAGAAAATTTGGAAATACGACCCCCCGCCCCACTCCCCCAGAGGCCGAAGGCCTTGAAACAACCCTCTTCAAGAGCCGAATTATGAAAAGGTTGTTTAGTTCTTCCCCAAAAGTACTCATAAAAGAGCCCTGCTACCCCACCGTCTACCAAAAAATTCGATTAAGAAGTACAAAAGTGGAAAAGTCAAAGAATGATCATTATTGATGAATCCCACCAAACGAGCAAATGAGAAACGGAGCAGAGAGCGACAAACTAGTCACTAAAGTGGTACACTATGACAACATCTGTTCTTTATTTATTTCCTCTACAAGGCTTACCAAATTCTAGTGATAGATAAATTATGGTTCTCAATTTACACGTCCCCCTTTCAGCTGAAAGAATCATTGAAACCGCCTTAGGCCGATGTCAGGCTTTGCGAATCGAGCGATCCGCAAAGTCTGACATCGGCCTTAGCCAGCTGGGTGTTGATTGATCTTTTGTGTCGACCTTCGAGCAACTTATCTACTATTGAAACTTGAACACATATTCAAATGATTATAACTTTCTTCAAATATGACGAATTTTCAGTCTGAAAGCAGATTTCGGGGTTTTGTAGAAAGCACTTTCTAACCAGTATCGGATTTGCAAAAATCCATAAGAAATAACAAATTTAGATTGATTAACGAGGCAAATTCATGATGAGCACGAGTTTTTACAATTTTCGAAGCCATAACTTGCTTCATTTTCATCAAGTCTGAGAAATTAATATGGCATACAAAACTAAAAGATGTTCTCTATCAAACGGTTTCTGAAGCAACTTTATAGGTCCAGTATTTATAAAATGGCCACGTTGAAAATTTTTGTAAAATTAATGAGGAAAATTCGTGATGAGTGCGAGTTTTTACGCTTTCCGAAGCCGTAACTCCGTTCAAACTCATCCAATACGGAAAGTTAATACGTCATCATAGACTAGAAGATTTGCTATTTCCAAAAGTGATTAGTTCTAAAAACGCTAAAAGCAAAAAACGTTCACTATTTGAAAATGGCCACGTTGAGGATTTTCGCCCGATTACCGCCGAAAGGTACTTTTTCGCTGCATTAGCACTATGCCAACGAATATAGCTCCTTTCAGGGGCGATTACGTACTAAAGTAGGGACAGATTCGAAATCCTCGTGCTTTTTTCCTTGCAAAAGGGTAAAAATTTTCAGTGTCTCAACTTTAACGATTACGTACTTGTGAATTTGACGCTTAAGGCTGTGTTTCTTGTTGAATGGTGTACTCCTCACTATAATTTCACATAAACCCTTTCAGAACCCTCTTGATTTATCATGAATTGAGATTCTTCCTCCAGAGAGCCGTAGCGGAAGCGCGCGCAACTAAGTGGGCACACTCTGGGATGCGCCGTGTGCTTCACATCCCTTCAGATTTGAGGACTCACTTGAAAGATAAAATACCCCTTGAAAAACGTGCGAATTTCGGATTCTTTAACATGGGTGGTGATAAAACACTGAAAGTAACTAAGAATTGTTAGGCGGGCACCTCTTAATCACGAAGATTTTATGTGGGCGGCAATTGTTATTGGAAATACTCTAAGGCCGGCATCGACTTGATCCTTGATATTTGTCCTCCGACGGTGATGATCCTACTGCATCAATCTGGCTCGACTTCCTCCCTGCGGGCCAATACGACCCCCCACCCCTCCCCCCCCCCCGCCACCACCCTCCCTGTGACCTGTCGAGGATTCCTCAACGCGCGCTTGACCCTGTCCTCCGCTGCTCTCGCCGTCTCCAGGATATAACGTCATCTGCCATCACCGTCGAGCTCAAGGTAGCCTACCGTAATGGCTCCAACCCAATACTATTACACAATCTTTCAAATCGTTTGTCTGGTAGAGAGCTCCCAGAATTCAGTACCTGTGACCATGTAAGATCGCTTTTAAAGCACTGGTGACAATGGCTCTCAATGTCGGACGACCCCCAAATTATGGAAATGCACGGATTTTTTGCTTTCGCTTCTTTTTTGTGAGGCTAATGGTACGCATTTAGAAGCATGCGATGAAGAAAAGTTTCCAAAGGTTTTACATCGAGTTCTAGCTTTTTGTTTGCGATCTAGTGTAGTAACGATCACGTTCGTCGGGAAGCGTGTTATAGCAGCCTCGACAACATTTGCTGTCTCAACAACATCATTACGAGGTCCTTTTTGGAAGGAGAATCGGTCTCGCAGAACATCTTCCTCGGTCCGCAGAAAGCCTTCCTTCGTCGATTTTGCTCTCATGTTCAAAACCGTCGCTTTCATCAAGTTTGTGCTCGGAACAACTAATGCCCCTGAAGGTACCGACTTTGCGTCAGTTGGGGCCACTTTGGCGCCGAAATTTTTCGTGTCCATTATCAGAGCTCGGGGGACGGCTAACTCCTACATTTAGGTATTTGCCGAATTTGACGAGGAAAGTATTGGTAGCACCAAGACGGCGCCAAATTGGCGCAAACCTGGCGCTAAATTGTGAGACCACTCCAAATCAAGCCATATTCGCGGTCAGCGCATTGAGTTTGCTCTATTGGAGAGCTTTTGCAAGAAAAAAAAACTCACTGGTTTTTTGTGGTTCCACGCGACAGACACTCCAAAATCCGCTCGGTCGCCAACGTGTTAACTAGCGTTTCAGATAACGGATAATAGTTCATGGTCTGTTGGAATCGTTCTGTGTACCACGTTCCGGGGAATCGCGAACATTTCAAATAGACTGGGATGTGCTTCTAAAGTTCCAATTAGGTTCATTGGGTTCAAATTCAGTAAAAAGGAATAAGTTCCGTTTTTATGTACAGGGAGTGACTCCTTTTCCCCCCTAAACAAGAGCAACCTTCACAACCCTGTGTTGATTTATGATAGTTAATCAACAACATTGCTCATCCCTTTTGCGAAGCGCAAGAGGTTCCAGTTAACCGGGGTTAAAATTCTTTGGTTTTTTGATTTTTGAGTGAACCTTCTCAAAATAATGCAGTGTACTTAAAGGACGAATTCACGATCACAGGGCAAATCGAATTAGGAGAATTCACCTGGTTGAGGGACCCGTGGAGCTCCTAAGTGTGCGAACTGAAGCACAGCAAGCACAGGAGGAGTTGATCTCGTTGACCTATTAAGGTTTAATCAGTCCGCGGCTGGTCGTGCACGCCCACCGATCATCTGATCACTCAGCCCAGGTCCATACGTGGCGGAAGATTAGATAGGTGAGAGAGCGTAGCGTTGAAGAGGGCACAGCGATGAGAGTCGCATCAATGCTCAAATCAACGGGCAAGGAAGTGGTCCCATTTCTCAGGTTCTGGGCCGTTTCGCATGGTTTTTCTTTCTTTAGTGTACCACTCACCACCCTTAGGTTAACTTGGAATGGGTTGCTTTATCATCGTGAATTCGTCCTTTAAGATAAAATAGTGGTTTTGAATAATGTCAACTTCGAATAGCTATTTTTTTTTCTGGTTCGCTCATAATTTCTAAACCACTTCACGCCTAGAAACCCAGAATAATCTCGAAGGTGAGTTGCGTTCTACCGCAATACACCCTGCTGGTTCCAGACTTTAGAGACTATGGAATTCTCAAGAAGACCAGAAAAATGTGGAAATTCATACTACGGTTCCACCGTCTGAGCGAGGTGAGCTGCCGCACGTGAGCGATAGTGGGGATGAAGAGTAATACAACGTATAACTCCTTATAGCACAGTATACAACTGTTCCACCTAACCATCTCATAAACCATTAACACTTTCACAATTAAGGTGCTGTTGTTGTTGCCAGAAGGAGAAGCTCGAAAAAAGAAAAGAATTGAGTTTGCAATATTTATTTGAAGACTGGAAGACTGATAGAGAATCAGATCTCTTGCACATATTCTGGATTGACGTAGGAGAAGCCCTCGAACTCGGTCTGATCTACATTCATGAGAAAAAGGCGATCAATTGGCGTCAGTTGTGGTGCTTCATGGGTGAATTCCGAATCGAAGTTGGACACATCATCTGGCGACTTCTGCAAAACAATGCTATGTCATTTACAGTAGCACAATGAGAAATTGAATCAATATTGTAAGTCGTTTATCATTGAAAATATGATAATTTCGAGAATTATGCACATCTTCTCGTTCTGTGGCTGACCTCTACATATCGCCGAGAGAAACAAGTCGCTGCTAAATTTCTAACCCCCAGAAATGAATGTCAGTTCGCTAAAAATGATGGTTTCGAATCAGGGCATGTGGAAGGAAGTACGGAGCACACATGAGCTGATGACGCTCTTTTTACACTGGCCACCGTCCTAATCCTGAACTGCCGCTAAAGTACAGTCACTATTTATTGGCATCATCGCTCATGTCACGACTGGACTGCTCTGTCACATTTTCAATCTCATTTTTTAAGAGCAGAAATTGCTTCCAGATGGTGCTATTCAGCATCAAGCTGTGTTCGCCAGTTTGCAATTTGAAAAATTGGCATCATGTGAGCAATCGAACCGTATACTCCTCCACTGCCGTCTCAGGACATGTTTTTTGCTACAAATTAAAGGAAGCAATAAAGATGAAGAGGGAGCGCATCGCGGAAGCATATGCACCACACAAAGCAGTTACTTGGCTGCCAAGGAGGAGGCGTGTGCTGCTTTCACAACGAAAGGTGCGCTGGTCACTCAGCGAGACCTCGAAAGCGCTCCGCCCCCGAAAGCGATCCGCCCACCAGCTTATTTGTTGAATTGGACGAGCTGCGTGGCTAGCAGTGGCGCAAATGGAGCATCTCGATTGAAGCGTGATTTGGCAATGGTGTCATGCATTTGGCATGAACTCGTTCATAACCCCATTTGTTGAGTTGTTACCTGTTGATGAGTGAAAACCAACGGTTATAAAAGGAGGTCCCGTTTTGCGATTTCCTGACAGATTTTTCTGCTTTTTTACTGGCGCACCTTTGAGCTCCACCAAGTCACAATGAGCCTTTTTTGGATTTTCCGCAATCGCTACCTCCAAGATTGCATAAACGGGCGACAACATTTATGGAGCGTCTATACCCTTCCTGATTGCTTATTTATTTGTTATTGTGGGCCAACAAGCGCAGTCATGGATATCACCCATTAGTGACGAAAGTGTACTGCTTCCAATGCGTCGAACTGTCTAAGAAAATTTCTCGTTGTACTCATCACTCATTTACTTCATTATACTACCCATTATACTGTAGCATTGCAGCTCCCATGATGTGTACTCGTCCCTCTTTGTGCCCTAACATGGCTGCACAGAAAAATCTTTTTTTTTACTGCTCTATGCGTACCTCTGCAACATGCAACAAACCACTAAGAGAAAAGAAATCTACATCCTATAAAATCCTTCTAGCGGAACCTGGTGTAATTTTGGGCTACCCGGGTCGAATACAAAGCTCTGGAGTATATGGATTACGAAGCAATGAAAAAGCAGATAAAATAGCTGCAATTGTAAGCGAATTGTCACTAACCAGGAAAGTCTTTGTCAAGCTTTTTGAATGCGGTCTTCTGCGTGATATAGGGGCACATGCGGGAACCACAGAACCATGCTCAATTTTTCCCGAACAGCCCTATGAATACCAGAGAAGGGGGTCCCTAGTTCGATTCCTCGTGGATTTTTCCGACTCCTCAAACTTTTGCACTTCGACTTGACGTTCCAAAATTCGCGTAAAACGCAGTTAGCATGAATAATTAGCACCATATTCATGATTAGGACCGTCAGTAACCCTTACAAATAAAGTTTGATCAAAAAACTGGTAAAAAAGGTGTGACACCACAGTGGGGCTGCTTGGTGTTACACCTCTTACACAAATTTTTAAGGCAAAGAGTTTTTATAGAGGTTACTGACGGTCCTAATCATGAATATGGTACCAATTATTCATGCTAGCTCCGTTTTGCGCTAATTTTGGAACGTTAACTTGAAATGCAAAAATTCGTCACCACGAGGAATCGAACTAGAGACCTCCTTTTCTGGCATTCAGAGAGTCGTTCAGGAAAAATTAAGCATGGTTCTGTGGTTCCCTCATGTGCCCCTATATCATGCAAAAAAAAACCGTTTTCGAAAAGGGTGGCACGCCCTGAAAGACCTTAGTGGTTAGCTCCTTTTCGAAGGAAAAATAGTCGGCAGCACCTGAGTGCTGTCACGATATTTTTTTTATAATACTTACCAGTTTTGGTTTGAAAGGTGGTTGAACTTGACGAGTCTCAATTTTATGCCAGTCGATCCGCCTGAAGAAGGGATGCTCCTGAAATTCAGTCAAAATAAGCAGGTTTTTAAGGTTTTTTTTGTTTCAACAAACACTTCGTTTGCCATTAAGACCTGTACAACCACGCGCTGTTCGAACCACTCCTCGGGGTAGCTTACAGCTTTAACGGTATATGATTACAACGCAACTAATACTAGGTAGTCTACTAAGGAGTTAGGTAGGATGGATCATTGACCAATTGCAAGACGCGTTTCGTCGAAGCCTCTGACGCCAAATGTGTCTTTCTGATTTAAATTTTTGCCCTTTTCAATCGAAAATTGTGTTAAACGAGTCTAGTGGCCCTCTTAACAGGGTCACCACAAGCGTTCTGGCCAACTATGACTACTACCATTTCTGTAGAATGGTTTGCAGAACCTAAGGATGAGATAGGAAAATCGTATAACTTATTATAAACTTGATGGAATTGGATGAAAGTGTGAGAGCATGTTGCCAAATATCGTCCAGTCAAGGGTGGTGAAGAGGGGGGGGGGGCGTCGTGACCCCGATCAGCTTGATATAGTGCCAAGGTGCATGTTGCGCAAGTTGGCATTATAGAGGCTCTGATGGAATGCGGAGAGACAAAGTGTTTCGATCGGTGAGCAGTTACGGTGAACCGTGGTAGTCCTTATAAAGGTTGATAGCTCTCTACTCCGTTTAAAGTGCATGAGAAGCGTTTCAAACCACAGCAATGCTGCGAATTAAACCTGAAAAGGTGGTTGTTGCACCTTGGTCGACTACGTAGCAGACGACCGTCTCCTTTTGTAGCAGGCACGAAAGAATTTACGTTAGTCACTGGCTGCATGCGTGACCACATGTAACAGAATCGTAAGACTCGTAGTCCAACACTGGATAGTGGCTAGGTGACCGCATGGGGGTGATCTCTCTGGCCATCGCCCAGCACCTTGTGTTTGGTTGAAATCGCCGCGCCGTTCTGAAAGGCTCGGAGTGGACTAGCTGAGAGAGAGATCAAATGCTTCCGGATAAGAGCAGGTTCCATCTGAGGGTGATTCTGAATTTGTCTCTATATGGCAGGATGTGGAACACGTTTGGCACTCAGCGTCATTATCATGGTCGGTTTGTTGGTTAACCGTTACGGATGGAGGCCTGAGGGCGTGGTAGCCTCCTAACTTTTGAACGTGCTACACTCCCAGTCAACATCACTGCGGCGCTGTGATACTTTCCAAAGTGCGACTCTTGAAGATACGTAAAGCCCTGACGTTGTTTTTATAGGGACACCGTGCGACCGCATCCAACAGATAAGCTGAAGAGCCATCTACTTAAAGGAAGCGATTACGATAGGGAATTTTCGCATTGGGGGAGAACCTGCGCCACATGGAGCAGTTACTGTTACAGTTGGCTGCCAAGGAAGCGATGTGTGGCGCTTCCACGGCGAAAGGTGCTGTGGTTGCTGAGCAGGACCTCCGCAGCACTCCACCCCAGCAGCGGTACGCCCACTTATTCACTCGGTGGCTTGGGCGAACTGTGTTGCCAGCCGCGGCACAAATAAAGCACTCGACAGCAGCATGGATTGGCATGCTGTCACCAAACGCGCTGTGCTGAACTCGTTCATACGTCCGCTTTTTGAGCTGCTGCCTGTTCATGAGTGAAAACTAACGGCCAAAAAAGGAGGGAGGGCGTTTCGCGTTTTCTTGACTTACTTCTCCACTTTTTTTTTCGCTTCTGGCGTACCACTGAGCACCACCAGTCTCCTATAAACCCTTCTAGAATCTACCGCAATCACCCGTAAAAAAAACCAATGCCTTTGAAAAGTTGAGAGCTTTGACGTCGTTTTTCCTCTAGACGGGCGCAGACTTCCGTCCCTGTAAATTCCCGAAGGGCACGAAATCAATCATAATGACGGCTTCGGGAATTTCAGCAATTTATTTAGGTTCTTCTTCATTGTCGGACACTCAGCAGGCCCACTTTCATTTTTGACCAAGTATCAAACTACTATCAAACTACGTACTCGCCCAGTCATACATACATGGCTAAGGCATAAAAGTTCGATGTTCCGTGTTAGTGTTAGTTAGTTAGTGTTAGTTTCACTGGTCTATAGTTGTTCTTTACTCAGCTTATTTTTTTGGAATCGACGTTCTCTTCACGCCTATGAGTCGTAGAGTAAACCCTCACCTAACATTCAACAGAGCGCTCCTAAGGATGTATCTAGAAGCCTAACTCGTAATTATTCAGATAAAACTGATCTACTCTTAGCATCATGCACACCCTAGGTTGGAACAACATCTCTCATTGATCTTTATTATCGAGGGCTTCGAAGATACAAGACATCGCTCATAAGACTTTATTAGCAAGGGCTTCAAAGGTAGATATGGGGAAGGGATGAGCGAAATATTGCGATTAAACTGGAAAGAAGCAGGTTCAGTAATTGATGCGATGCGAGACGCCATCCTGGTAGACAGAGGTCTAGGAACAACCTTGTAAGACATCGAACGCTGGTCCGTCCGCTAACTGGTCTATTCGCTCGCTGTGGTAGTATGAAATAATGTGTATCGTCTCCCCGAACTGCATTCTCTCTCGTCTCGACGAATTTCTTATACTCCTGGGTGCCCATTATATTTCATCTCGCTGTCTAAGCTCTATTGTCCTTCATATTGTTTTTAGAGTTGAGATGTCTGCTTTCTCTTGTTTTACACGGTTTCTCTCAGTTTGATGACTGGAGGCCCATTTCGCCCCCTTGCATCATCAAGCGCTCTAATCTCAACAACGTGATTCTATGCTGTACCTCAGTCAACAGCCAGCAACGCAAGAGTTTTTCAAAGAAGTTAGTGCTTGAACACTACATTTCTAAAATATACAGGTTGCGCTCAGAGAAGGAACAGATCAACCGGCATTCACTCGGCCAGATGGTTGCGACTGTAATGACTCCAAGAAAAAACCCAGAAGGAACAAAAAACCTTTTGCGCTATATTGCTTAACCTGCATAAATGCAATGTAAACTAATGCAATTCGCCGAAAGCTACACGCTAATCGAATAAACTGAGATTTCGCGTACCTTCACATCCAGTTCAGCTGCGCTGAGGTCTAACGAGCAACCCAATCGCTTGCTAGGATTTTTGTTAAGTAACATCTTACAAATTGAAACGGCTTCTTTCGATAGGCTCTTCGGATATGAAACGCTGTGTTCTGTGATGGCTAAAATAAGCGAATACTCTGCTGGTATGGTACATGACAGATAAATTTCCTTTAAAACGTTTCATTGGAGAACGCAAAACATACCGGTGAAGAGTTCATCCTCATCTTCTCCATCGAATGGTGGTTGCCCTGCCAACATTTCGAACAATAGCACCCCAAACGCCCACCAGTCAACCGATTTCCCGTAGGGTTGGTAGAGAATGATCTAAGGCAGGCAAATTGATAAAAATATGGTACCGTTACTAAACTTTTGTTCCAGAGCCTTCTTTACCTCTGGCGCAATATAATCGGGAGTTCCGCAAAAAGTTTTAGTAGTTGCATCTCCAATGATGCCTTCCTTGCACATTCCGAAATCGGTTATCTGAAAAAATATATATAGCGGTAGACCCAGAAACCTGTAGTTCTTTGAAATCGAAAGCAAGTATTGCCACCTGCGGCGAGTGATTAGATTGTTAGTGGGCGTACCCCGCCAACCACATCAAGACAGAGCCATGCTAGATGGCTGACTTGGCGCATCACTTCCAAGTGTACTTTGGTGGTTCTTTATGGGTACACCAAGTTTATGGAGTAAATAGCAAATGCAAAGCTGTAAAGTTTACAAATGGTGAATGTAAAGCCATAATACAAACAAGCAAGATACAGTGCGTACCAAAAGTATGTGGACACCCTGGAATCGATTCTCAGGGGTCAGCTAAAGGCTTTTGGTGTTATGAAACCTTCACCATTCAACTCCTGGTGGTCGATAACCTACAATGACATTTTCGGCAAAAGATTTCGTTCTAACTTAGCGAACTATTTTTCATGGAAAGTTTTTTCTTTGTATCAAAATTATGTGGACACTTTTTGAAAAACGGCAATATCTTCAGAATCTGAAATCGGTAGGCCTGCCAAACTTTTTAGTAAGTTGAGCCATTCTGTTTGACATGCTATGAACCGGGTCTGGATACATGTCTTGCCGATCTTTTCTCAATCAGTCAATTAAACCGACGTGTTAGGTCACTTGTGATATTAATCTTTTGTTCAATAACGTAGAGACCGCAAACCACAATACCTCTACGTTTTCAATAAGAACGAAGTTTGAGGAGTACGGTGGCCGACTTGCCAATCAAAGCCGTTGCGTTTAGCATTTTTCCAAATGGAATGGTGTCAGGGACCTCCCCTGCGAAACAAGTGATTTACGACGATGACTTCTCGAAAAAGGTTGAAGCCAGGACTCAAGCACCTCATTATAACCCTAGTCGTCTACCTGACATGTTGGCAAGCCAAACTTCAATGTCCGTCTTCTTTTGGAAGCACCCCGCACCTTTGATGAACATCTTCCGAATTGTTTCTTCGAGCACATTTGCGGGTCCGACCAAAGTCTCTCCAAAAACCTCAAGACCCACCCGGATAGTAAGGGATAGCTTCTTTCTGCCAGCCGAGTTGGTATATGAAAGAGATTCCAGCAGAAAGTCTTTTATACTAATTTTTATCATTTCCACGAAAGCACTGTCTGTGTGGTTTCAAAGTACATGTTGTGATCAGTTTTTTGAGTGAAAATTCCAACTTTGCCAAGCTGACACCGCGATTCATATATGAAGTTTCTTTATCTTCTTTCGTGTCGTGCGTTCATTGGTTGAATAAGACACAGATTGGTCTTTTTTGAGTTCGGGAAGATCATTTATGCGTAAATTGAGTAGTACGAAAAAGATAATTTGAGAAAATTGAGGCTATTCTTTTTCTGTTTTGAACAATAGCGATTGAGAACAACCCTCAGTCAAGGTCGAGAGCTTAGCATCAGATTTCGGATTTCTCTCACAAACCACGAGGAGACGCATGACTGGTTGACGTGCTTATATCGCAATCGGAAGGTTCAGAAGCCTGGGATCCCATTTCGTGTTTGGTCTTTCTCAGAGAAACGCTTGCGCGCGAAGAGGAATGATGCCAGAATAAGTAAGGAAGGAGAAGTAAAAATAGTTAAGAAATCGATGCAAAAACTTCATCTGCCTCAGGTGTCCACATAATTTTGGACACAAAGAAAAAAATTCCATGAAAAATAGTTCACTAAGTTAGAACGAAATCTTTTGCTGAGAATGTCATTGTAGGTATCGACCACTAGGAGTTGAATGGTGGAAGGTTTCATAACACAAAAAGCCTTCAGTCTGACTCCTGAGAATGCGATTCTAGGGTGTCCCATAATCTTTGGTTGTAGCGCACTGTAGTACCAATCGACCGCGGGATAATGAGTACAAATCCAACAAATATATGCGAGTAGGAATGAATTTGAACTGAACTTTGACTCTTTTATCGCTTCAGCTGCTTGGGTTTCGATTTGGGTTCGTGCGGGTCCGCAAGTGACAGCTACACTCTAAAGAAATCTCCACATCAGCAAGCAAGACAGGCGGCTGTCGCCGTTACTGTACAGCATGCGACCATTTCTCGTGTCGATCCCTTCAGAGCCGACCAAGTCTGCCCGCCTTCTGTCGTAAGCGGTCTACAGAGCTCGAGAACAATGAAAAAATCATGAACTGAAGGTTCATGATGGCCGAAGTCAAAATTGCGCTGCTAATTACGCGTCGGTCAGCACCCTGAGGAGTTTCCCATTTATGTAACTTCCCTTCTCTGACCCTCGCTCTTACCGTGAATTCCTTCCTCAAAGACTAGCTTCGGGATAAAATAGGAGTGGAAGAGCGTTCAGTAGGGAAGCTAGAGGTGGAGAGTGGTCTGGAAAAGGAAGAGAATGCAAGAGAAACCCTCGATTACGTCTCGAATGGAGATCTCCTCTATTTCAGCCGATCACCTTGGGAAAGAAAGAACGTAGAGAAAGGGCGTGTTGGACGAGTTTCACAAAGCTAGCTCCACCTGCTACAGAGCCAATGGCATTGACTACGCCCGCTCCCCAGCAGCGTCACGTGGCGACCGAAAGCGGAAGGCAGGCCTTGCGGGCGAAGCTAGTTGAGCGAGCTTCTACTGCCTTTGTCGGCACTTCAAGCCGTAAAAGGGCGCGACATCAGCGCTTGTTCGCCTATCTACTACACTCGAGTGTGCAGCGTGCAATATGGAGCGGTAGTGAAGAAGATGAAGAACATTCTGCTCTGATCCTATGCATTCAATTCCATAGTCGCCATCCTTACATACGCCTAAGAGATAGGGCTCTATTCTGGTAAGGAAGTGCGTGGGTTCCTGTAGGTTGCAGTAGGTTACCACGAAGTAAACTTTTGATGGGCGAATTCTGCGACATTTTCGCCTCTCGATCCTGCTTGCCCTCCAGGTTCGCCGCTATCATATCCAGTAAAAATCCTACGTGATCGCACTTCTACGTGCATTATATGTCGAGCATTCGAATCTCGTCCCCAGTAATCATATGAACGGATATCCCTTCCTCGAAATGGAGAAAGAAAATGCCTTCCGAACCGACTTGCCAGACAGTGCACGAGAATTGGCTTTCACTTCATGGAGAAGACATCGACGTCGAGTTCGGCAGGCCGTCGAGCAAGTTTACGCGATTGACAATATTTTGGGTATTCATAGTTCTGCTCAGGAGATTAGTTAATAACTGTATGCAATTTTCGTTCCGATCTTTCACTATGCATCTGTGTGAGAGGGAGACGCTGCCCATATCATGCCAAAAGATTGGTGAGACATAGAGCACTGAAGGGCGTGGATGAGGCGGTAGTGGCTGCCCCGCCGAGGAGAGGGCATGACAGACCAGCTCCGGAAGGAATTGGTTAGCACGGGAATGTGTCAGTGAGAGTGCTCTGGTGATCCAAGTTTAGCGTTCCAGCTTCGGCGTGCCTCACTGGCTTTTTGCTTATGAGCGTGGTGGTCCGCAGGATATAGGATCTACGCTCAAGAGCGATAGCCTTGGAGAGAGGATTGCCTTCGTGGCCCTTCAGAGGGGGCCTCAACGAGTATTTCTTTGATGGCGAAGTGAAGACAGCCTTAGTGGCTCGTTGAAAACTGCATGAGATTACTTAAGGTGGCCGCAAGCTACACAGGCTTGCTCTTCCCAGCCTCAATGGCTAAAATGAGGAAGTCTATAGCTTAGTAAAAAAATTCATGCGTGGACCTATGTTCTCTGGCCACATCTCGAGTTCGGCGACAACACAATCCGCCTTACTTCAGTAGGGCAACTATTCTATTTCTTTGTATTTGTTGATTTTGCTTGTTATAATAAACATTCATTCGTACTGCTTGTCCCACACACGAGTTGGAGGTTTACTCCATCTTCATATCGTCCATCTATATTACTGTATATTTGGATTATTTGATAGTGCGTCTGTTTAATGTCAAAACTAACTCAATCGAGGGTCCTTCCCGTACAAGAAGAACAATTTTTTCTCAAAACCCATTTCAAAAGCAAGACGAGAAGAAGAGTCACTATTCAGGCACTCCTTTCGACAACGCTCCGTCACTTCTTTACTGAAAATTCTCTCAAATGCATAGGGTTAGGTTGAGATGTGATAATGGACTCTCAAAGACTGTGTGCTTGAAAATCGCAGCCAGCCAAACTGGAGCAACCTAGATTTTTGCCGTGCTTCAGTGAGTCAGGGTTGAAACACACAGTCTTAGTTCTTTTTCCGGAACAGTAAAATCTAAATTTGTACATCGTTTCCTGGTTGTTGTCTTATCGTTGAGGGTTTTATCAAGATACACTGAAGGATACCGTATATAATGGTTAGCAACTCACTTTTATATGGCCCTCCCTTTCCACCATTACATTATCAAGCTTGAGATCTCTGTAAATTATTCCTTTGGAATGCAGAAAAAATAAACCAATGGCTATCTCAGCGGCGTAGAATCTAAAATAGAATCATCATTCTCCAAAGATAGATATCACACAGTAACAAGCAAAAATATATGCGATTTTGGATTTTTGGGTCTAATCTATCAATCTTTGTTGACTCAGGAATTGGAAATTTGTTCCACTGGAAACAAGACTCGAAGATGGCCGAATTTTCAAATTATTGTTGAAACCTTGCAACTCAAAAGAACATTCTGCTGCGCAACGGCATATACCTCTTCTTCTTCTCCCTAGCGTTAGTCCCACGGAGTCGCAGGATCCGCTGTTTTTGTCAGCCGTCGCCACTTTGCTCTGTCCAGGGCACCTTCCATCGTGGCCGTGACCCCACCTAGGTCCTTTCTGATCACGTCTTCCCACCTTTTCTTCGGGGCTTGCCTTGTGCTTCGAAGTTCATCCTTATTCTTACCCGATGGTCCTGTGGCCTCCTTAACATATGCCCATGCCATCGCAGACTGTTCTCGTACCTTTAGCTGGTAGGGGCAGCTTGCATGACCACTCTGGCGTACAGCGACTTTATACCATTCATAGAGAACCCACTACACTCGCTGCACCTGATCATGGCCAAATCATGAAGTGTGTGCGTGAATGCCCTTTTTGACACATTCGCGACGACGCCCCTTTCCACTTTCCCGTCGCGTAGGACGGACGCGATTTTGTGGGCGCCGCCGCCTCAGCGCATCACCTCACCTTTGTACGAACAAAAACATGAACGCCACGAATGATTTCAGCAATGTTTAATGTGTAAAGATTATCTAAACTTATAATAAGTATTCCGATCTGAACGACGAATAGTGGTTACGAAGAGAGAGCATTTATTCGCTTTCTCCGTGAAGTATTTCAAAAGCATTTCTCACCCGATTACGAGATTTACCCACCTATCTGTCCAGTCCTAGCGCTTGGCAAGCGATTATCAGCTGGCAGTCCAGGCTGCCATCATCCCAGAAGCAAATGTTGTTGGCAACCCATATGGGCGGCCATCGGCGTGAATGTGTTAAAAAGGCGTCTATTACCACAAACTAGCGAATTTCAATTTTTCCGTATGCTGATAATGGTCCCCTGTTTGGACCCCTACAAAATTCCCTCCTAAAGCTCATAGTTGCTGGATTCGGAGTTTCCGGAGATCAATCTGGAGCAGCTTCTTTTTGTTCACCATACCCGCTAGAGTGTCGTACATATAAAGATAGAGCCTGCTTGGATGCCAAGAGCCGAATTCCCTTTAGTTCAGGGAGTTCAGGCACAATATGGTTTGCAGCGACATTAGTACAAGATTGCACAACACCTGCTCTGGGTGACGGCGTGCGCCAACCGCCCGCGCGGGATGCGGGAAAAAAGCCGCCTGGTGCACATGCTCGCTCGCGCAAAAACGCTCCCGTCCTTTGTGTGTTAATCATATCTCGAATTTCGTGAATTTCTCCCACAAATCCTATCCGTGGCCTCATCGTGGCGTGGGAGTGGCAACAGCCTCGGCTGGCTAACGCGGAGGGTGTCTCTCGAGGATAGAAGAAGCAGAACTTCACTCAAGAGATTGTCTCAAATTCTGCATTACTATGATCAATGGATTTTTCGAGCATCTCGGTCAATGCTAGGTTACCCACCGTAATGGGTCATGCTAGGACGTCCACCGTAATGGACACATATGCTAGGAAGTCCTCCGTAAAGGACAAACACAAGATCGTCAAGATTGCCACGCTTAACATCGGTACCCTGACCGGCCGCTCTGCTGAATTAACAGAAATGCTCAGAGAGAGAAGGATTGATATTTGTGCACTACAAGAAACCAAATGGACAGGCGCTAAGGCTAAAAGGTTTAGTGGCTACAATATATACTACAACGGTCAACAATCCACGACCAACGGTGTCGCCATCGTAGTGTCACAAAAACTGGAACACACTGTTAAGGATGTGCAGAGAATTTTTGATCGCATCATGTACATTACCATGATCTTCGGCACAAGAGCGACACATATCATCTGCGCATACGCCCCACAGGCAGCCCAATAGCGTGAAAGAAATATTCTGGGAACAACTCGCTGACGAGACGTCCACACGCCCGCTCAATGAACACCTGTACATCATGGGAGACCTCAATGGTCATATTGGCGCAAGCAATGATCAATATGAGGATACACAAGGACGATTCGCCTATGGCACGAAAAATGAAGACGGTTCTCGTGTTTTAGAATATGCCAAATCACTGGATCTGGTCATTACCAACTCCTTTTTTCAAAAAAGAGAATCCCACATGGTAACCTACTACAGTGGAGATTTCAAAGCACAGATCGACTATATTCTGGCAAGTAAGAGC